TAATCTCACAGTATGCTAGTGACTATCAGTACCTAATTGGGAAAGATTTTGCTGTAGCTAATATGACTAAAGCTTCTGTATTGAAACTGTGTCACATTACTGTTTTTCTTAAAGCTTATGTTTACAATTAGATTGGCTTCTAAGTGTTCAACAGAAGTTAACTTCATGTTTAGAATGATTTTGTTGGGTCTTGCAGATCCCAATATGGTGAGAACGCTACCAAAGTGACTGAAAGAACAAATGAAGTAACTGGTCAATATGCTAATGCCTGTGTTGAGGTCGCAAATGAATTGGGCGTGTGGTATATCAATCTGTGGTCCAAAATGCAAGAAAAAGCTAACTGGCAAACGAAATTTTTGAGGTTTGTTACTACCTGGCCTAGAGAAATAGTGACTCTGATATAAGTGTGACTGAGTTTTAGTTAGATCTCAATTGTATTAAGGATTACATTTGACTAAGATTTCTTCATAAATACTTTTAGGTGAACAAAATAAAAATAAAAGTAAAGTAATTTTTTTCCATAAACTACAATTAATTTATATACAAACTAATTTTAACTAATGGAAAAAAATTGTTCTTATTTTATTCTCTTAGAAGTGCATGTTAAGAAGTTTTTCTTGAAGACCCTAAGTCTAAATATGATAATTTGATTCTGTTATCTTGTTAAAGGCGTCATGAATTTACTTTTTTAGTCTGTTAAGGACATGGTAAACTGCTTTCTTATATTTATGTATGAAAATTGATAGTTACAAAAGAGAAATACACCCCCTTCAATTCCCTCCAAATTGCTTAATGAATAAAATCAACTCCAATATCTTTCTTCAAAATTATGGGAGATTTTACCTGACATTGATGTTTTTGCTGTATAAGGGATGGGTTGCATCTGACAACAGAAGGAAATACAGTACTTTACGAAGAAGTGATAAAGGTGTTCAATGAAGCGGGACTTTCTGTTGATAACTTGCCATTTGATTTCCCTCACCACTCAAAAATTGATTCGGAACATCCTGAGAGAGCTTTCCAGGAGGTTTGTGATGTCCCAGTGTGATACTCTGGTTTAGTTTTGCACTTTTGTACTCTGTTCTATTTGGTGATCTGAGATTTTCTTCCAGAACTATATTTGAGTCCATTGCTTTAATGGAACCATAATAAAGAATATTTCTCCAAATGAGGTTTTGGGATTGATGTAATTGATCTCATAATGGGATATAATTGTTGTTGTGATACTTTAATAAATCTATCGTTGTAATAATACTCACGTTGAGATGAGTATGCAAACATTTATAATTTGATTAAGTATTTTTGTTGGGTGATCTTGATCTGGTAATTATGAGTGCTAATAACACTTTTAATATTATATTTCTAATATATATATATATATATATATATATATATATATATTCAGTTAACATTT